GTGAAAAATATATTTCACGATTACTGCATATCACTGCGAAAGTCGGCTTTTTTCGCAGAGTATTACGCCACTTCACGTAAAAAATAAAAAAAGTGAATAAAGAAAAATACGTAAAAAATCTTGAAGAATTACATCGGGGAAAAATATAATTTCCATAATTTTCCCAATGCTTTCGAAGCAATAACAATTTCATTTTCACCGAACCAGAAACCACCTATATATGTGATTCGTGTTTTATGGTCCTTTTTTTCCGTCGATAAAAACTAGAGTATGAAAACATGGATAAAACAAGAAAAAAAACGGAAAAAATGGAAAAAAATGGAAAAAAACGGAAAAGGTGAGAAAAAATAAAAACGAAAATCGGGTGAAACTCCGTTGATGCTATATACCGACTTACACGAGGCTTTCAAAAAAGTGGCCTATTCGAATCGGCTATTTTCGATACCACGCCATCGTCCCAAAACTAATAAACGCAACAACTCCACCAAAAATAACAACAACAATTCGCGATATGTTCATTCATGTCTTCTCTCCGTCATCATCACTAAACTAACAACAGCAAAAACTTTGCGAAAATTCCGAATTTTTTCCCAAAATTTTCCCACCTCTGCATAATTAGCCCCCGGAATTTCCCTCAAAATATTCCTCTCCCACTCGCCGAGCTCCTCAACGCTCCCCTTAGCCGCTTGCTGTTCAGCCAGCCGGTCAACTTCCCGAAACGGTAATCTAAATATTCCAAAAATTACAGAAAAAAATCAGGAAAATTTAATTATGCATGGGAAAATTCCTCCACGAAAAAAATTTTCGTCAATTTTTTCACTACCTTTTCTGAACCAAATCTGGCCGCTCAGCTCGAAATGATTCCCAACAGACGCTATTGAGAGGAGCCGTACGCGGATACATACCACGAATCTGAAAATATTATGGAAAAAAATTTCGGAAAATTTTCCGAAATAAAAAAATTCCCAGCCTTACAAATCCTGCTCCAGGAATTAAGCCTCCTTCTTTGAAAAATCCGACAGAAAACCTGCGGGAAAAAGAATAAAAAAATCCCACCAAAAAAACTCGCGAAAATTCAAGTCGATTCTGATTAACCACTCCAAATTCACTCCAAAAACTATCGGAAAAAAATCTTCACTGTGCGCAAAAAAGACGTCAATTTTCCAGAACGAAAATTTTCAGGAATTCCCAGTAGAGCAATTCCATTCACCACGAATGGAACTTCGCGAAAAACGAAAAAACCTTTCAAACTCATTTCCGATCAAAATTGCATATACTAGAAATTTTCCGAAACTCTTTTTCACCAAATAAAAAAATTCTTAACTTTCCGGCATTTTCCAAATCTTTACAATTTTTCCTATCACAATTCTATTCTCAACACACAAGCCATTATTATTGTTCTCCCCTCAGCTGAGCTCAAGAGTTTCCTCACAAATCATACAAGTTTACACCTACATTCGTGTAAAAATATACAAAAACCAACAAAAACTCCCCAAAATTTTCTCACAATTTTCATATTGTCAAATTTTCCCACAAAAATTGGACTGTGCGACGACACTTTCGGACCTATTCTGAATCCTGACAAACACCAACCTAGGATACCTTCATAACGATCGCTGCATGACAGACTACGACGTACAAAACCAATATTCGCTTTCCTCAGCTGATCATACGAACTCGGGTAAAATTTTACAAAAATTTTACAAAAAATTCCCAAAATTTTCCTACTCTGGGTGTTTATATGTCTTATCCCCTTCGCATCGCATCCCCAGTCCATTCCTCTTTTCCTCCACTGTTAATACTCTAGCCCGTTCACTACACACAACAACGACAACAACCATTTGTGCATGCGTGCTAATCAGTAAATCACCCAGAAACCTATAATATTCCCGGCGAAAAACTCATTTTAAATTTTCCACGTATAGTTCTATGATCATTTTCCCCATTGTTATCAAATTTTGAAGAGTGTTATCTTCCAAAGCTGAATGGATTCCTGATTCTCAACGAGCCACCACTCTAGTAAACTTAACTATACAGTAGAGCTGGGCTTGAAGGTCTCCAGTCCGAATTTTTACCCAAAAATAATGTTGTTCGTGTATATGTTATCAGGGACATACCACATTGACATTTCCTACGGAGAGCCGTCCCTTCAGCTCCCGAATGGTTCTAAAGCCGAGTTAAGACTCGCGCTGAATAATTCGTACGCACGCACACTCGAAATGATTCGAGTTGCAGTATATAACTCCACTACAACAACAACAACAACAACAACAACAACAACAACAACAACAACAACAACAACAACAACAACAACTACTACTACTACTACTACTACTACTACTACTACTACTAATACTACTACTACTACTACCACTACTACTACTACTACTACTACTACTACTACTACTACCACTACTACTACCACTACCCTATTATCTCCTCCAAGGCGACTTCCCTAGCGGGTCGCCGCGCCCTCGAAAAGCCCGCATTTTTACCCTCGTCCATCACAATCCGAATGCCCCTTGGGAGATCATCATGTTCAATCTGATAAAAAAACCATAAAATTTTTTTCATCATACCATCGTGTTTTACCCTGCACGCTGTTTGACGTAAATGAACTTTTTCCGATCGTTTTGGTACCATTCGAACAACCGGACTGATCCTCCTCACCTCAGCAGATGATTTTTTTTCTCCAGAAATCTTACAAAAAATTACCGCACTTCACTTCAAGTAGTTCTCACTTTGAATATCCGTTTACTCGGACGCCAAGAAAATTCCCGAGAGGCTTCAACTGGGCCGAAGCGCTTCACCCCTCCAGCAAGAACAAGTCCGTTAATGTCGGAAAAATATCTGAGCCGGAAAATCCAAAATTTTGGTGACGAAAATAGGAAAAATATAAATAGAAAATTGAAAGAAAAATATTCTCGACGAGATCATCACCGTGTAAGTTTTACAATAAAATTTTGCACAAAACGCCGGTAGCCTTGCCAAAAAAGAATTTCATTTCCGGGAAAACTGAAAATTTTCAAAAAATTCTAAATTTTCCGGAAAAAAGCAAAGCACCTGTCCATCCCAAGTCGTGTGAAGCTGTCCTGCTCTCCAGACCGGCACACTGTTGGTATTATTTTTCGGCTATCTGAACTATCAATAATACCACATCTCGCACAACTGTCTCTTGAATGCACTACTGTTCTTGCCAGTGTTGCGGTCCATCCACTTCGCTGGTCGCGAACCTTGCCACTCCGGGTGATTCTCCACGGGCATTACGGAAATGCTCAACAAGAGAGGAAAAAAGAGGGAAGTAACTATTGAGGGTAGCCAACGATGAGATCAGCATTTGATCATTTCTCGGAAGAGGAAAAATTGCATTCTTCTTTAACACCATCACAGGGCTAGCCCACATCTTGAGAAAATCTACATAGCATAGATAGAAAGCACTTGGGAGTATTGATGAACTAAACTAGTAAGGAATAAATGGAAATGTTTACTAGAGTTCGTTTTACTACAGTGCGAAGGTTAGTCAGTATGACTTTCCTAAGTAGATCAAGGTATGTCCGATATTACGATACACTATATCGCAATACGCCCGAGTGCATTTGGGCTCGCCGACGTACCGTGAAACGGTCCATTGTAGGTTGCATAAACAAAATGTTCGCAACCCTGCCGTCCGTCCTTAGCAGTAGCTCCGTGACAGTCATCATCAAAGAGAAGGAGACAACTCGCGTTTTCTCAGGAAAAGAAGAGAAACCACAGTATCGCTCGCCCACTGGTTTTCACCGATTTCGAAATTTTCAAAAGTGGTACTAAAAACTGCGGTTCTGGAGACGACTTCAGAAACGCGGAGGAGCATTTCTTAACACGTTCAGAAGTGAAAAAATTCATGATAAAAATAATAAAAAAATTCACGTTCAGAAGTGACTCCCCAGAGTCGGTTCTCTAAACAAGATTTTTCAAAATAGATTCTCGAGTGGATTTTGAATCTCAGAATCGACTTATCGAGCAGCACGTCAGCCGATGATGCCACTGTAAATGTTGACTTCGATAGTGTAGAGCAAATGCTTCTTATTCAGCGTGCTTTCATCACCATTCTCTTTAGTTCCGTTAAGTTTTTATATGTCTTCTACTGTGGAAGGGCGAGTCATCGCGAATTCGCCACCTGGGTGTTTATCACAGGTAAGCTCCTTACGGACTGTCAACACCCTGGTCTGCTATTCGTGTAATATTCATATTACCTCCTCGCCGTGGAGTTGTCGATCCACGACTTAGGTCATCAGCAGTGTTTTATATCCTCATCAGGTTTTGGCGGATTTGTCAGTGATTTCCCCCACAGAAGTAGCCACCAACAACGCCGCTATTCAAGAGTAAACTCGGCTGTTCGTCTTATCCCGATTCTTCGTATAGTAGATTGATCTTTATTTGATTTTCGTATTAGTATACGAAGTAACTCGATTTCGGAACTGCTTCTCGGAAGATCCTAGTAGCGGCTAGTAGTAGATCATGACACGCTTTCTAAGATTTTTATACACCCTCTTGAGCTACAGAGGATGACAGTGTGGAAAAGTATGCGCATGCTCAACTGCATGTGTTGGTAACTATGTACAAATTCTGAGGAAATTTTGGGAATTTCTTTACATTATGGTTCCTATACATGTCTACCCGGATTCGTATGTAAAATCCTAGAATTTGTGAGGAAACTCCTCAACACACTGAGGACCTCACCGGGTGTCGTCGCAGGTATTGTGAGAGCATCGGTATGGTCGTGACGTCCTCTATTGATGCAAATGGGCAAATAACGAAAGTGAGCTCCTTGTGTGATCATTGCGAGTTGATAGTAAAAATTGGTCTCAGACTTTGAGGTATATAATTTGGATCTTCAAAGCTGAGTTTTAGGCCGCTGATATTATGAAATTGCTTAAGAGCTTGTAATCTAACGCCACTAAAGGTTGAATTCAGCCTATTGTTTGAAAACAGTAGTATTCATTCGCTCGATGAACTGAGTGTCACCCATTTTCTACAATACTATCGAAGCCTCCGATAGTGTCATGGAACTGGGAATAAACGTGTTCTGATTCAACACTTGATCTTCATGTTGAAGATGGTCCGCAGTGGACGGGACAGAGAAGCTCTGTGCAATGCGAGGAAGGGATAGATGATAAATTGTGGGAAAGGGGGAGTTATCTCGGACAAGAAGCAGATGTTCTCAGGGCACTTCTAGAGATGCCATCATGGCACTCCCACGATGTTTGTCGACTCGGTCGCTTTAGCAGGTTCCACTTTCCCGCCACTTAGTCAGGCCTCATGAACCATGAGGTGCATTCCGTACAAATGCAATAGGTAGGCACTGCTACTCAGTGTTCCTCGAAAAAGATGAGAGGAGGATTGACCCTCGAATCCAGGGAGTCCGAAGATAGGAGAATCTCTCAAGAATACGCCCTAACGGAGAACATGGGTGTCTGAGACTTCAACATATAGCCGATAGGACGAGAAGTTACTGAAGCGAGATTCGTGATGGGATAGCGCAAGCTCATCGGCCATAGGACAGTGACTGTGCTGAAATCAGAGAGCTCGGTGGCGAGCTGGGGATCTCCGTCATGACTAAGCGTCTTCCGAGCGGGTTATGTATCCAAGACGCTACATGATATCCCCAGCTTTGGTTGAAACTGGGGATGCTCATTTCTTCCATGAGCACTTTTGCATTGAATTTTACAAGTTCGAATGTAGCGAAGGCCTGTGCTATGTGGCGCACCAGGCAGTGGGAAAACCTACATCTTCACAATAATCGCTGTGTACTGCCGCAGTTGAGGGTTTGAGACCATGCTCACTGCCATCTCCAGTGAACGAGCGACTCACTAGGCGGCAGACACTTGCACAAGCTATTCCCATTGCCCGTGAAGCGTGGACTTGATCCACTCTGTACTTGCGGAGGAAAGGTGTTATCGTATGGTTACCCACTCCTTGTATTTTACGGCCTTGAGGATATTGACTATGTATAAGGTTCTCTTTTATAGAACTTCACACATATATTATAAGTCGGTCATGCCGTGGTTGGTGATGCCGAAGTAGATGGACTACGTACCTTACTGTGGACCAAGCACGCTGACTTAGGCTATATTTCAACAGTATTAGAACCACCGTGCTGGATGAATGCCGATCGTTTTGCTGTGCGACTATGGACTCGATCTCAGAGATAGAGCTCTGAGGACTCATTCAAGATCTCTCACATCTGAGGGCGTTGATATTATCTATTTGTTTCCAACCAGAACTCGTGTTGTTGGATATGGTGGGCAACAGGCGTGATCGGTAGCCTCAGTGGAACTGCCTTGTCGGTTCTTGCGAGATACCAACAATCCGATACCAACACCCTTTTGCCAAGCCTATATTTGGAGTCAATTTCCGACCGATTTGGTTTTGAATCTCCGCCTTTCCAGGTGCTCATCTGTCGGCAGAGTCGTCAACAGGACTCTCGTGAACAATACCTGGACATTACAGGGAGAAAGCGATGTGAGGTTTTACTGTGATGGAGTAACTTCATGTTCGAATTTCCAGTTTGTGTTGTTCCGCGCTTATCGACTATTCCTCTTCTAGGTGTGATTAGTTGGGGATCTATTCCTGCGGTCGTGTCGGTGGAAGAATGCCCCGGCGTAAGCTTACATCGGCACTGTTGAGATAACTATTGAAATTCAGAATGACAATACCGATGCGAGTTTAAGAGTCGTGGCGGATGAGATTCTCGAATCACTTGATGGAGATGATGCTACTAGTGGAGCTTGGATCAAGTAGGATTTTCAATTCAGCTCGGACCCTCTAG